TATTTTAGCATATTCAATCTCTTCAATATGTATATACGACGTATATATATCCTTCAATGTGATTGTAAAATATATACAAAGTATTCCTCAATGTGAAGCTGATACATCACTAACTAAAGAGGTCTTACACAGTCATAATATGTGATTACAAAGAGCAAAACGTAATAGAAACTTGGTATTCCTGGTAAAAGGGAAAGAGTAGAATATAAAACTAGTTATGGTGCCATACCAAGTACTCGTAACATTCCATTCAGATGCCACATGATGACGCCATCAATAGAACATCAAAAGCATCTGCAATACTGTTTGAAAGCCGCTGCTTCTGGGGCATAAGAATTAAGTTTTGACTAGCAATGGCCTTTGCTGCACAAAGAAACTGCAACAAACTGACATGCCACAGATCAGGTAGCCGTGGAAATGCTGGCTGAGAGTGCAGCATGGCGTGCCACAAATGACTCGACCAGTGGATTCACTAGGTCAGGTGCTTCATCCTTCAGGATCAGGAACATTAACAAATTATGAATGAGCCTTCGTTGTCAATGGGAAAGTTATCAGAATTCATACTAATTATATCTGCTTATGGTTGGGCGCTAGCACTTCTTTTCCCTATTTATACATTTGATCTAATCTTTCATCCCCAAGACAACAGAAACCAGTTTCTCCGAGCCAGATTTTAGCATGTGCTACAAAACCACATTATACATCCATGCATCTTCTCAAACATTTTAAAAAACTCCAATAGCCTTCATGTACGCAAACCTTTCTGAGAGCTAAATTATTACCATTCTGCTCCAAGGCAGCTCTTAAATACCTACTCTGGTGCTTATATATACAGACAAATTATAACCTCAGAGTGTTTGTGGCTCTGTGTGTGTGTGTGTGAGAGAGAGAGAGAGAGAGAGAGACCTGAGGGCAGTGGCCGACATTAGGAAGAACAACGAAGTCTTCTACAGAATCGAATTTCCCATAGGCACGTCCAAGTTCAATGGGCTCCCATGGATCCTTCTCACCCCATCCTATCAAAACAGGGCACTGTACAGAGAAGAAAAATTAAAAACTTGAAGCTACTTGATGCATTAGTAATAGTAAATTTGACTGGTGTGAGTGGTTAGTAAGGATACTGTAATCAGTTTACTGAGTTTACTGAGACACTAACCTTCACTTGAGGCAATAGTTCCTCAGGAAGGGGGCCACCTGAGTAACAAATGAACTCCAGAAATACATCTACAGCACCAGGCTCAAGTCCTGGAAGAAGGATTTTTTGAACTAGTTCCTCTGTTACCTGGGAGGTGTCATGGTAGCACTGAAATGCAATTATTCGTATCAGTAAACCTAAACAAAGAAACAAAAGGGAAGAGTGCAAGTGTTCACAAGTTTTTTAGCTTCTATAAAAACAAGATAATTTGGATATAACACTATACAGCTTAACAAACACACACCACCACAGGCAACCACAACGACATTCAAGCTAGATTCCCACTTAGAGTGAATATGTACATATCATAGCTGAAGTGTCTGTTATACCCATTAAGATCCAGAAAGACTTATGTGGATGGAGTGAAAAGATTCCAAATTTTAACTATTTGCAAAAAATCATTTTCGTAATTTGTACTATGCTATGAATCTATCTTTGCTAATCAGATAACGTTGGTTTATATACTTCAATATTAGCAGCTTATCAAAAAATAAATATGTCGCTATCGTAAAATACCTGGCAAAGGATATTCCTCACAGACTCTGGTGTGGCAACAGTTTTGAAAAAATATTTGCCCACATCAGTATTTCTGCCACAACATCATGACTTGAACTCTATGTTTACACTAAAGAACTCTAACATGACAAACAAACTATTTAATCCAGCTTTACCTCAGTAAGTTCTGAAATGATCTAATCAATGGTCTTCCGTACCAAGGCTGCTTTTTAATATGAAGCATACGAAGAGAAATATTTAAGAGCATTATGCCCTTACATAACTGTGGCTCCATAACTGCTGCCTGAAGACCAACAAGTCCTATGAGAAGACCCAAAAAAACTCATAAGGGTATGTCTCTGTTGATGTCATTCAAAGAAATAGTTTCTAAAGAACAAAGGCTCCATTTAGTAATAAGCAGAATCATATAGAAGTATCGCATCAACATTGTAGATTATGGCTTATCACTGTGGGAAATATTGATATCTGAATGTAAACCCAGCGTATTAGAAGATGGTACGCAAGAAAGCAAAGGCAGTATATTTTACCAAAATATTTCTTTCATAAGTTTATTGCAGCAAAGTAACCAAAAAATGAACTTTAATGGTGACCTCCTTCGGATCCAAGACTTCACTATCTTTCCATATGCATATCTGAATGCATAATATATTAATATGTTATTTATTGTTAAGGCATGTCTAACCAACACATGATGGAAAGCATAATATCCTATCACAGGATCTTTTCACAGCCTCACAGGTGGCCATTAGATTAACAAAGACGGCATAAATTATATGTTTTTTTTTCCCTTGATCCTTTTCATTTATCACTAGGCAGAACTAGTTAAGCATAAAAACTTACAACTCATACCAAAAAGTGAGAGAGAGATGGTCACCTCCGATAGAGTTGCATATAAAGAATGCTTCATCCTTGACCACATCAATACAAAAGTCATTTAGCTGGGTGCCCCATGTCTCAAATGTATAGAAGGAACTTTCCCCAAATTGACGAGGATTTGGTTTGTCTGAGTACCCATAACCAATAAGATCAATTGAGTATACCCTATGTGATTTTGCAAGAACTGGAATATTTTTCCTCCAATGGTCACTGTAAATAATAAAAAGTGTGTCATAGGTACTGATCTTGACAAGTTAAGCATGGAATTAAAGAGATCATACAACAAAACTCTGAAACATATGGCAAAGTGTGAAACTTGCAAATAGTTTGGGAACATTTAAAATGCAAGTTATGCATGAAAACTCGAAAATTGTGGGGAATACAAAGCCCAAAAAATGAAGCTTTAGCTTCTAGATTGCACCAAAACCCAGAAAGATTAGAGTTTGGTCTGTTCATGGGTCCTTATCTTAAGCACTAACAACAGTTTGAGCAGCTATTATCTGACTTATTAAATCTAATTAGCAAGGACTTAACTCTCTCACAACTATCTACAAGATAAGTAAGCAACAAACTTAAAAGTGCAAAACCTTACATAAGTAAATTTAATTTTTCAAATTTAATGAAGTTCATACCATGCGTACAACTAAGAAAAATGGATATGTCTCATGCCTGTGTGTGTAAAACATGAATGTATATAGCAATTTGCGCATGTAATACCTATAGCAATTAGTTGTCTGCTTATGAGAAGTAATGTGTGCATGATGTAGACCTGTTTGCTCCAAAACCATGAATTAATACTAATGCCGGGCCACTGTTGCCAGCATGCTGATAGCGGATAGAATAACCCCTCCAGTTCCATATTCTACGACACACAAAAGAAAAATGACACTAGAAAGTAAGAAAGACAATCATTAATTTAAACCCACTGTCAGCCAAAAAGATGCCAAATACTTATATTAATTACAATTAACATGAAATAAAGAATCAATGATACAATAGCAACTGAAAATAGAAAAACTCTTTCAGGCAACAAGCAACATGAGTATCCAAATTATTCTCATTAGCTGATCACTAAAACTATATTGGTTCACATATTAAGTGGGAATCAAAAGCACAACTCTATAAAAGCACATGAGTAACTCTCACTCCATGTCTCAGTTAGAAATCAGGAGATTCCAAATAAAGTGGAAAGTGGAGTGTTTGTAGAAAGATGGCAACTCGAGGTTCTCATCCAATTTTTCATTTCCCCCTCTCTTGGTTAGTCCATATTAGCTCCCTTTACCACAGTTGGACTTAGTTCTCGGGGCTCATGTGATGTTTTATGATTCAGCTATCCTCTGTCGCATCTTTTTTCACTTACCACTATGCCAATTCTTCCACAACTATGCATTTTATGATCCATAGAGTGTAAAGCTAAATTAGAGTCTAACCTTATAGAAAATTTAATAAAAAACAGCTTTCTCACTAAATTTCGTATGAAGGGCAGCATAGCTAACTTAAAGACATAAAATTTGATCGTTTCCGAGGAATCAGAGGAAAGTTCTTTATATACATCTCTTGAAAGAAAAACCCAGAACCGGATATGAAACTTCACAGTTGCTTCAAGAATTCCTACTTTCTAAAACCAAACAGAAACTTAGAACAATGCAAAACTCTAAACCAATATAAAGGATTATTAGAGCATGAGAGGAACTGAAAGCATGGTACCTGCTTTGAACTTGGACCTCAGGCGCATTGTTGTTCGCAGTGGCTTCTGGACTAGGAAAGCTGCCCTCACCAATTTGACCACTCAAAGAAGAAAATAAGATATACCCATTTGATTCAAACCCAGAAAACTTAGACATCCTACTAGGCATCTTAACTTGATGAAGATTTTCCTTGCTGAAAGTTATGTTTCTCTGAGAGGATAAAAATGGAAAATCCAATTTTGACACAGACAGAGCGGGAGAGGTAGTGCTTGCCATGGCTTTGATACGAGGACAGAGAGAGAGAGAGAGACAGAGAGCAATGGACTGATGAAGTGTCAAGTGTGATATACAAAGCTCACATGGCGGCCACAGATGAACGTTCAACCAACGGTTAGAGGTCAGCTTGTTTCATGTTTAGTGTTTAGGCTTGCTCCACGTATCCATCTTGTCAATTGCCATGTACTTTAAAAGCCAGACACAAGTTTTAAAAGCCAGACACAAGTTTGTAGGCCCTGCATTTTGCGTTTGCATTACATCCTCTCTTTACTAAGGTTAAGGTTGAATTTTTAAGGACAAAGCATGACCTCATGAGGCTTTTAAAGTACATGCTCCAGTGGAATCTCTGCCCTAAGGAAAATAAAATATAACCAAGAGGCTTCGACCTTCAAGAATCAAATAAACGGGAAGTATCATTTTCGTTTTTTTGAGATAAGGGCGATAGTATATTATTGAAATAGGATGAGTAATTAGTACAAAAACCCGGCTATGTCATCACCAACACCAAGGCCAAAATTTTACAAGGTAATTCTAAACAATTGAAAGAAAGTAGCCAATCCGGCCAAATTCCGGCCAAAATTTGTTCGAAAGTTGCCATGCAGGCAACAGACAAGCATCTTTAAGTCTTCACGACAAAATCTTCACTACATACCGGACTAATTTGATACTACCAGCCAAGTGAAAACAACGTAAAAAAGAGATCAGGTCAATCCATTTCATCCTCTTTTTAAGGTCAATCTATTTCATGCTGTATACGAAGGGAACAATTCCAATTTTTAAATGCAATCATCTCAAGCTTTGGTTCTCATTGTCCTGCGAGATCCCTTCATCTTGATCATGGGATAGAATGAAATCGGGCACTTCTTCAATATCCTCTGCAGGCTAATGGGCAATGAAAGGAATATAATTAAAAAGGGAAAACAAATTAATGTGGAAACCCAAAGAACATGCACAGAAAGTATACGACCTTCCATAGTTGCAACAGGTGCCATAACAGAAAGTCAATGATCATAACCAAGCAAAAAAGCTTTCCCGCCCAAGCTCCACATGAGAGGTATCTACAATAAACAAATTAAGCAATTAGCAACCCTGAAATTGCTCCTGACATATTTATGCAATCTCAAAACATCAAGATAAATAAATAATGAAATTAAATTCAAAATCCATCACTGCCTCCTAATCAAGTTCTTGACGTCCAATTCAAGCAGCTTAACTAAAATTCAATGTGACACAGTTTCTACCCACAAAATACACAAGCGCTCCCTCTCCACTCCATCTTGCAATCATTAATAAGCTAATGGATCAAGAGATACAACAGTCAGCCTTCGAACTGAAAAAACAACCACCTGTGCATCCTTGTCTCCCTAAACTGTAAAGAAAAACTCATTATCATCCCCTCAAGCAAGACAAGATGAACAATGGTATTGCAGTCACTAACTCTGCTTTTACAGTTTTACCATTGATGTGATGAAGAGAATGGTTGGTTCACACTCTATGCACAACGAATTTGTTTTAAGCACTCAGACTCATAACCACATCTGTACAAGCATGCAATTTAGATGCAAGCTTTGAGTAGCACACCGTGAGAGTCGTTGTAAAAGATTTTGATTTGAGCATTTCAGAGCACGGTCATAAACAATTTCTGTCCGTTTCGCTACATCATGCCAATTGTACAGCTCCTTCATCTACAAACCAACAAAGAACCAAAGAAGCATATTTTAACCACTGTACAAGTAGTTAATGCGCCTAAAGACAACAATTTTTGAAAGAGTGCACTCACACGATTGTGCATTTCTTGTGGGTCGATTTTGGGAAGTATAGATATTGCCTTCTTTATTGCTTGAACCATATCACTAGGATCTGGTTTTGCAAGTACAATCATGTCATCTGGTAGTACCTATGTACAGAAATGGGGTTAACTAAGTTCAAATGAATCTAATACAAATTCGACTCTACTAAGAGATGGAATTTATCCTAGCTTTAAGAAAGAAAGAAAAATACTAGTTTATTAACTATTAGAGAAAAAAGATTCCAAAGTTCATACCTCCGGGACACCTCCTACACGTGTACTGACTGTTAATAATCCACAACTAGCAGCCTCTAAGATTGCTATGCAAAAAGCTTCTGTTAAAGAACTGCCAGAAGGGAAAAATCATATCATAAAAAATTACAACAAATGGTAACGGTTTTAACAGACATAGATGAAGTTGAATACATGTTGGTGCAAATTCATTCACATTTATATATTACTATAGTTGTGAACCTGTGATGCTTTCTCTGTAGTTTCAACAGTTAGCTAGCAGAAAAAGAAGTACGACTATGCTCCAATGTATCTGCAAGCAATTGCAACTCCTAATTTACTTATGTTTCAAATTGTATTGATAGTATCACCGGTATTAATAACACCACTGTTTAACTTCAAACAATAAAGACAATTTGACCACCAGTTGTAGTGAACTACAAGATTCCCAACAATTTAATTTTTTCGCCTGAGTTGGTGTAGCTACAAAAATTGTTCTTCAGATATTTAAAAAATATAAAATGAAAGAAGATATTCATAAGTACCTGTTTAAGAATATATGGCCAGTAATTAGGACAGATCGTACTTGAGAGTGTTGCACGGCACCTAACATCTCAACTCGATCTTGAAGAGAATGTTTTTCCCTCATCTCTTCCAACCGCACACGTTTCGGTCCATCTCCTCCAACAATGAAACGAACCTTACCACATATTTCTGAATGAGACGATTGAATGCTAATTAACCATGTTATTAATTACATTCAATGATGCTATGCTCCAAACCACACTCAACGTTTTCTTTATATCAAAAGCATCCCCCTTAGGTTAGGCCTTCACACATCGAAATTGTTTTGCACGTAATGCTGACAAGTGATGAATTTATGATCATCTCAATATACAATCACAGAATTATTACATCCAATGATGTTATGCTCCAAACCACCCTCAACATTTTCTTTATATCAAAAGCATCCCCTTAGGTTAGGCCTTCACACATCAAAATTGTTTTGCATGCAATGCTGACAAGTGATGAATATATGATCATCTCAATATACAATCACAGAATTATTGCCGCACACATTCAAGTCCTTTCCAATATTAAAATTCATTACACAGAATTAGCAAACATGATAAGAAACGTAATATTTTCATTGAATGCTATGTGAAAACAACTCACATTGGGGTATAAACGGCATACTTCTGGAATGACTTCAACGAGAAGATCTGCACCCTTTCGGTAAACCAATCTACTTATAACAACAATTACAATTTCATGACTACTCAGGCGCTCTGGTGCGGGCTTGAACATAGCTGTGTCAACAGCATTAGGTATCACAAAGACCTTTTCTGGTGGCAAACCTGACCGTAGCACTGTGTTTTCCTTGCTTGTATGAGAAACACAAATGGCCTGACTTACTTCTGCCAATGTAAATTGCAATACCTTGTTCATGTGTATACTTCCCGCATCAGCAAAACCATAGAGTGAATGATCAGTAAATACGACCTTGTACCCCATTGTGCGTGCATGCATCAAAGCCTCATGGCAAAGAGTTGAGAAAGCTTGATGTCCATGTACCAGGGATATTTTCTCTCGAATAAGGATAGTCCTTACTATTGGAAGTGTCCCATAAAAGGTTGGAAAAGTATTCTGCATAAGAAACGGTTTCCATGGTACATAGTACACTTTCAACCCGCCTGTCATATATCTCACCCCAGAACGATTGTTGTAGGCATGAGTCATTACCACCACCTGAACAATCAAACAATGAAAGTTCATCTAGTCAACAGCTAATAGAACAAAGGAAGCTGATTTGTGTCACGAAATATTTTCATTTTTTCATATCTCAAAACACTTGGCAACTCAGATGTTCCAATTATATTAAAACAACTACAAGTATACAGCAATATATAATCTGGCACCCACCCCCATCTCTAGAAACTCCTCATTACACCTTAGCTGCCACATCATTCAAGTCGTGTATCATGATAAAATTTCCATTACTCCAAAACAAAATGGTGGTTCATCTAATGCCCCCATTACATAGATGGGGGCCTCAACATCCTTGTGATGGAAAAGCAATATGAGAGCATACAAATAAATAAATCAGCAGTTTCATTCAACTATTGTTTTCCAGTTATATTAGATAATTACATATACAAAAACACACATGTTGAACCCATAAAGTGGAAGAGACTGTATGTCTGACCTTGTGACCAAGCTTGAGAAGGCATTGTGAGAGATAATAGATGTGATTCTCCACACCACCAAAGTTGGGATAGAAAAAATCAGAGACCATGAGAATTCTATGCCTTTTCCACTCACCCATTTCTTTATTTCAATCAGTGTTTTTAAAGGGAGGCCTTCGCGCGCGTCGGAGCGAGGCGGCAGGAAATCGCCCTAGGCGGTCAGCTTTTTCGCGAGTTGCACGTTCAACGCGGGTAAGGCGTAAGGAGGCGTGGCCAGGCGGAGCGAGGCGAGCCAGATCTGGACACTTCGGAACCGGAAGAAATTTTGCCAGTCCGCAAATTGGCTGCGACTCCGCGAGGAAGACGACTCGCGTGTTTTTTAAAACACTGCAATGAAACGACGTCGTTTCGATTGCAGTGTTTAAAAAAAATTCTAATTGAAACGACGTCGTTTTACTTGGAGTGTTTCGAAAAAAATAACGCAAGTTTCCGTTTTTTTTTTCCCTTACCTTTATTGTAATTAACTTTTTTTTTTTTTGGGGTCTGAATATTGTAATAAACTTAAGGCAAGAAGAATTAATATCTTTCTTGTCTTTTCTAAATCCAGCCGGTTGTAGCTTTATCCTACTTACTTTTCTTTTTATCTTTTTTAAATTAATATATTTACACATGGACTTTTCTATATATCTTTATATATAAAGCAAAAGGCAGAGAATGGTGAAACATTTAAAATACCAGAAAATGTCCTTGGTTAATGCAAACATTAAGAATTGAAATTATTAATTAAGTGAGGATAATATGGTAAATTTACACTTTTTCATATTATAAAAATTTAAAATTAAAAGAAAAATCAGATAATGGATCCTCTTTTTATGGAACACAACTACCCATTATCTTTTTTAATTTTAAAATAAATTTAATTTTTTCTTTTAAAAAGCCTCTCGCAGGTGCGAAAGCGCATGCAGAGAGGCTAGTATATATAAAGCAAAATGGAGAGAATGGTGAAACATTCAAAATACTAGAAAATGCCCTTGATTAATTCAAACATTAAGATTTGAAATTATTAATTAAATGAGGATAATATGGTAAATTCATATTTTTTATATTAAAAAAATTAAAATTAAAAACAAAATCAGATAATATCTATCCATGTTATCTTTTCTTAATACTAAAATAATAATAATAAATATAAAAAAAACCAATTGGCACATGCGAGCTAGTATATATATTGTATAGTACAATCCTAATTTCTACCCTTACCAAATAATCTCCATCAATTTCAAGAATTCTCTTCATTTTTCGACTGTAAATAAGTCATTTTATTTTTCTCTCTAATTCTTCGCAACTATAATTTGAAGTTCCGTATAATTTTTTTTCAATTTTTTTTTTCAATATATTAGTTATCTTATTCGTTTATGTGATATAGTAGAAATTTGATGTACATGCATCATACTTGTATCTTAGAAATATTAATGGTGTTGTTTTATAGCTATGAATCGAAAAGATTCTGCGTGGAAGTATGCAAAAGAAATAGAGGAGGAAAAATACTTGAGATGCATATTTTGTGATCAAAGATTCAGTGGAGAAATTTCTAGACTTAAGCATCATTTGGGTCAAACTCATCATGATATACAACCATGTAAGAAAGTTCCTGAGCATGTGAAAAAAGAGTGTGTCTCAACTTTGGAAAAATTTCAACTTGAAAAAAGAAAGAAAAATAAAAATGCTTAGAGAGGTTGGGGATGGTCCATGAGGAAAGGCTCAGAATATGGAAACTTCATTGGATAAATAATATGGAATCCTCGGTACTAGGAGTGTTGCAGTTAATGAGGCTCTTAGAGCACAACCTAAATCAAAAGGACCAATGGATAGATTTATCACTTTAAAAACTCAGCAAAATACATTAAATTCAACATATAAACAAGAAGAAAGAAAGGAAGTTTGTCGAATGATTGGTCGTTTTTTCTTCTCTAGAGCACTCCTATTTAATATTGTAAATGATCCATTTTGGCTACCTATGATGGAAGGGATTGCTGCATATGGTGTAGGATTTAAGCCTCCATCAATGCATGAGCTGATGACTTGAATCATGAAGGAAGAAGTTGGATGCATCACGTAGGGAAATATTATTAGACGGCGACACTGAAGCTACACTCGCCTGCATGAAAGCGAAAGCGTCAGTGGATCTTGAATTTTTTTGTAAGTTCAGTGTAGATGAGGAGAATAGGCTTGCTAACTTGTTTTGGAGAGACTCTACTTCACTTTTGGATTATGTTGCCTCTGGAGACGTCTTCATATTCGACAGCACATACAAAACCAATATGTAGGACAAACCTTTAGTGTTATTTGTTGGTTCAAACAACCACCGGGCACGACCAACACTCGCCTCGCTTCGCCTGGCCACACCTTGCAATGCCTCCTTACGCCTTCCGAGCGCTAAACATGCAACTCATGAAATAGCCGACCGCCTCGGGCAATTTCCTACCTCCTCGCTCCAACGCGCTCGAAGGCATGTCTTTAAAAACATTGATAATTAGTAAACAACTTCAATAGGAATCTGGAATCTAATTCTCCTCAATCAAACTCCTCCTCAATTCAATTCCTCCTAATCCAATAATGGATTAGTAAACATGCCATGATTTCAAATCCCTAAATCTAGCAGGTCATTGCAGTCACCTAGTACAAATAAATAATAATGACCCAATAAATTCAAGAAAAAGCAATGCTTTCAAAAAAATGAGAGAGAGAGAGAGAGAGAGAGAGAGAGAGAGAGAGAGGGTGAGCTGATAGATAAGCAGATGCGGAAGGGAAAGTATTATTTGGCAGCAAAAAGTGATTAGAAAGTTTGGTCTGTCTAACAAAATCTGACCTCTTTTATATGGGTTAGAACGTTTGGTTGGTCCTCATTGGGGTTTACGTTTGCAGCCGGTAATCTTCTCACAGACAATACAAAATCTACCGGTCAATCCCAAACAAACAAACCCCTCCCATCCCAACTATAAGCCCCAGTGCAGCCATTGCATTGGTTATTGGGTGCTGCAACTTGTCACCACCAACACCTGAATGGCACGTGTCCTTCCCTCTAAAACCCAGGGGTGCTTATAGCATGTGGGAGATACTGAAAAATATTGAAAGAGCTTTCTACTACATGAAGTTTCTTCTTTGCCTTTTTCAAGTTTCACCCTTATTTTTAATCTTTGTTCGAGTCAGTAAGATTTTCATGACCCCATTTGATCATTGTGCGCTCATAGAGCAATGGCATTTATGCGAAAAGGCTCAAACTCAGGCACCAAACAGCTTTAAGGTAAGCCATCAACAACTTTCATTCAGCTTCTTTTTTATTCTGTTCTTCGTAAAATGAAATGGTTTCGGAATCTACAACGAAAAATAGTATAGAAAAATGGTCTGTTGCTTTCATTTGTGAAGAAACTCGGTTGTTCCAGTTTGTGAAATGTTCAAGTATTTTTTGCAGTAGAGTTGTTTATGCATGGGGTAGCTTTTGCTTGTTTGGCTTCCTCTGCATAGTTTATAATGGATTTTTGGGTGTCCTTGTTCTCAAATTTTGTAGCAAATGCGCACTCTGTTTCCTCTATTTCCTCTGTTTTCTCTGTTTCTATGTTGGTTTTTTCTTTTTCTTAATAACTAGCCTCTTTGCATGCGCTTCCGGGCTTTTTTTAAAAAAATTTAAATTTATTTTAGAATTAAAAAAGATAATGGGTAGTTGTATTCCATAAAAATAGGATCCATTATCTTATTTTTATTATTATTATTTTTAAAATATGAAAAAGTGTGAATTTACCATATTATCCTCATTTAATTAATAATTTCAATTCTTAATGTTTGCATTAACTAAGGGCATTTTCTGGTATTTTGAATGTTTCACCATTCTCTGCCTTTTGCTTTATATATATAGATGATATAGTATTGCAGTTTGCTGACAGGAAAATCCTAATATTTATTAATAGTTAATTTTAATAATGATAGAAACCGCGTTTTTATTTTATGATAAATTAAGAAAGAGAGTACAATCAAACAATTTATACATACTGACTATTCATAGGAACTAAAAAGCTCTAACTAAGATTGGTAGGTCATACTTGACCCCATAACAAAAAAAATATTGGTAGGTCATACGCTTTTATCTGTGTTTTATGGACATAGACGTCAGTTGAGGTAGGTCTCATCACGCATTGTATTTTAATAATTCGAACTGTTTAATTTTTAGATATTCTCTCAAAGATCATCTCAACAAAAAACTACTTGAATCCGAAACTATTTAACCACTCAATTAGATGGTTATTATTATAGTCTTTTCTTGAAGCACCGTGTTCGTCTATTTTGTTGGTCCCTACTAGATGCCTTAATGATTTTCAATTTTTCTGATTTTTGCAAGGATAATCAATGAATGAATACTTGAAAAATAGACAGTTTGGATGGGTGAAAAAAAATAAATCGTAAAGAACCTTAAAATGTGTACCTAAAAAGAAATTATTTGAGGAATCCCTCAAGAATATAGGATTTATATATTATATCAGTGTCATGGAAAGAAACACAAATTATGAGAATATAAGCTTAAATAGTAATAACATATAGGGAGAAGAAGAAAGAAAGAAAAAGCAGGTAGAGGGTCAACGAAGTTGCACTAGAACCTACTGAATGGTCAACCATCTACCAATCGCATGGTGGAGTGAGATGACTGGTTGTTTGAGTGGATGGTCAGGTATGAGCCTTTGGATTTTGGTCAAACCATAACGTTACAACAAACAAATATCTTCTCATAGCTCCAGAAGTTACAACAACAATACTTGGTAATATTCATGCTACTAATTATTGTCCTCTATTTTCTTTAAATATTAATAGGTTTTATTTTAATAAATAAATAAATTAATAATTGGTATATGAATTATTTTCTATATTTGTAAAGTGCAAATCATTTTCGTTTTGTTTTTTTTATTCCCATTAGTAGTCAAACTTTTGGGTGGGTGTTGATTAATTTTGTGGGCCAAGAAAAGAAAAGACATGGACCAACAATTTATTTTGGGCTAAAATAATTATCTGGGCAAATGTCTATGGCCCGACTAGATTGGTGTTCCAGACCAGTCCAGTCTGTCTACCTTATTTGATTTATCTGGGTTTGAGTTTTGTTTTTTTTGGGTCAATATGTGATTGATTCAAATCCTATTTCTTTCTTCAAAATTGACATAGTTAGAGCGTGTTTTAAGAGTATAATAGCTGGTTTTGTGAGACATCTTATAACATGAATCAATTCAATTGTGCTGAGAATGCAAATAATAATATACTGCTTCTTTGATTTTCATCGTCCGAATATGGATTGTTATGCAGGAGGCTCTTGATGGAGCACCGACGATCGTCACGTCAGCAGACATATATTGTGTTTGGAGATTGAAGAATTCCCAAACTGATCATACGTACCAGACTGAAAGTTAATTATATTGCAGATTTTCATGCTCTGTCGTGCTGATCATAGTAAGTTTTTCTTCATTTCATCCTTAATTAATAGATATGACTGCTTCAAACTATGCATATACGT